CATTTAACAAATTCTTACCTAAAAACGGCAATCAGCAAATTCAGGAGAAGAATATTGATAAATAACATATGAAAAGCAAGAAGAACATGAGTAGCTGTGGCTTCAGCAACAGCTGTACTGCTACCATTAGTAATTAAATCTATATTCAAAAAAGTCTCTTTTGCTGTGAGAAATCGAGTTGCAACTTACCATCAAGCTTATTTGTGTCTGAAACTTGGCCATACATGAACCAATAGGGTGGATAGAAAATATCTCCAAAAATGCTTTTTCCATCGAAAGAAACTTCGTTATACATGAAGAGCGATCGCGATACTACTCCGTAGGCAGCAATGGCCACGAATATAATGTATAAGAAGGCGAAAAGGTCTTGCAACTAAAATAAAAATGATTGATGATGTATTTCGCCTATCCGAATGAAAAATGACCATATTTTTTAGCATGAAAAGCTTAGGACCGAGAGATTTTATTGCGATGATGAATTTCAACGATTGTAAATACCAAATCTCAAGATCAAGAGCTAAAATGATCCTTTAAAAAAAAGAAAAAAATATACCAATATCATTCGTGAACAACATTTAACAGACCTGGCTACAGTAAAAATACGCTCGTTATTTCCAGAACCGAAACGAAAACCGATGCCTATGTAGAATAACACGTAGGGCAAAATGTAAAATAGACCCGCCATTATGGTAAGAATATTGAATCCTGTATAACTCTGACGTTCAGTCATCTTGCACACATAGTTATGCCTTGACTGGAAAAGACACTCAAACAGATTGAAAGCAGTCATGTTTGAATTTTTACCTGGCGCAATTCTTCGCAAAGCATCGTTGAAATAGTGATTATGGTGTAGATTTCTGTCCAATGCGGTGGGCTAACTGTCAGAGGATCAAAACTATAAAGCATCATGTAACTGAAAACCAGTAAAAACCAAATGTAGAAAAACTAGAATGAATAGGTCATATTTTATCATGAGTAGAAAAAAAAACGAACATAATTGTGAATAAAAAGCTTACAAAATGATAACCCATTTTCACCATGGGACTCGTATGAAAATAGATCCATCGATCAATCAAGCCTACACTGGTGAAACGTTTCTTTGGTAGCTCTTTCTCTATGTAGTAATTGATGCCCTTTTTCGATAACCTGAAAATGCACAGTAAAAAAAATCATGATTATAGATTGATTTGATTACATACTTGAATTCAATATTTCCTTCCTGAAACGAAGAACTTAAAAATTGGTGATTTTATTCGAAATTACATACGAACCGGTATGATTCGATCTTGTTTTTGCTGATATTCAATGCAAAATGGAGCAGGCAAACCTACTAGAAGAATTGATAGAAGTAAAAACGGCTTTGTCGCTGCATGGCTGTTCGATGTGGCTAGCTTGTCGTACCAAACACGGTTGAGAGCTTCATGGAAACATGCTGTTTCTAGCACATGCATGCTTTCACTTGAAATGGCGACCTATGTCATATTGATAAGATGCTTCTGTGAAATGGTAATGGAAATCGGGCGATTGTAATTAAACAGTAATTCTAGAATAGTCATTTATAGCTATCAATATATCACAGTAATTGAATTTCCCTATTTCTAACTAAGGAGATTTTTTAGATCGAATGAATGAACGAAAAATAGAAACGGTAACAATGCATAACTAGTTTATTCAACTTCACGAAGTCAAAACTTGATTTACGTTGGGTAACATGAATATCGTGTTGATTAACATTCAATCTATTCGAATTCAAGTAATAATGGTATGTTTTTCGTGAACGAGAGTGTATTTTCCAACTGATATCGATCTTAGTTAGAGCAAATGCAGAACTTCGCTCTCCAAAAATCGATCGTTGCTCTTCAGTTTATTTAGCTTCGACAAAATAGAACAGAATGCTCTAAAAACTAAACAATGTGAATAATTAATTAAATTTTATTCAAAAACTTTCTACACGTTTCAAGATTAATTGAAACAGCTATCCACCTAAATTGATATGTCAATTAAAAGATTTTTCATGGTTTTTTTACTCTCCTCTGTATTTGAGGATGAGGATGGATATGGCTCTTTTTTTTACCCTCACCGACCCGAAATTTATTGAACACATATATCAAAATATGAGTTACTCTTATACGAGATTTGTTGCAAAATATTTCGATGGTCTTTTCCGAATAAAAATAGCCTATTTTATAGCACGTTCTTAGTTCTATCGAATATTATACGTTTAAAACCAATTAATACAGGAACAAAAATTGAAACCATATCAGAAGTTGGTTGTTCATGTTTCGCAGAGAGCAGAGCACAAAGTACTACTAAACGGCGAAAAGAGAAACTTTATGTCGTTGATTTCTAATGTGAAAATGGAGAACCAGGAGAAAACATATGATGGTTAAAATATTTTCTTTTGAGAGTTGATTTGTCATTATTTCTGCTCGAGTAATCTTTTTTAACAGTTACTGGAAGGATAACTCACTTGCATACAGGTTACATTGCCAAATAGTGGTATTTGTCGTAGGAGTAGATCACACGCTGTCAGCTCATTGTGTGTGAAGCACTTGTCGATGCATATCGCTGCGTATTGTTCAAAATTGTTTGCATGCACCAATATTTGCCTTGTCAAATCAATGTTGGTTGCTATTTTTGCATACTTTTTCAATATGGCCGATGCCAGCAGAGAAGCACATATTCGTGATCGAAGACGAGCGAGTAGAACTTGAGCTATTTCAATTCGATTCATAAATACAGCCCAGAAGAAAAGATCACGTAGCATTTCTTGCTCTGAATAGTCGTCACTAAATATAAGGCAAGGCTGTAGACTTGATAAAGTCGGAAAAATAGTTAGTCTTGTTAAAAAAAAATGTCGGTTTTTACTTACCCCATCAGTTCATGATTTCGATTTAAGTAGATCGAATGAACAAATGAACCAACGAATGTTGCCAGTTTATCATCGAGTTGAGTTATACTTTCGAGGTTTTCGGCAGCAAACAGAGAACAAACACTACTCGATTGCATCTGTTGATTTGATTAAAATGAAAAGAAATCGTTTCAAGACAAAGAAACAGCAGAATTGCAAGTCAATACTCGATTTTTGGGTTGCAATCTTGAGTTATATAACTTTACAATGTATTCATGACATTTGTTGGTCAATGATTTGGAATCACCGGATAGTTTCCATACATGTCGGCTATCAAAACCGGCACGAAGAAAGTAGTCAATGAATGTTGATCGATTTTGTTTCAGCGCATGGTCAAACAATAATTTCACATCGGCGACATTCTAAATAATCTCCATCAATATTCTTAGAAAAAGACTCGTCTAGATGATAGTTGTCTCATCAAGTAATGACGATGGAAACATGAAAAACTCTAGACAATATGTATTCATTGTTTTTTTGTCTTCAATCTGTATCTCATTGATTGACGGCCAACTTGCTCATAAAGAGATTTCATTATCAATATAGACTTCGAAAATTCTCAGCTCAAAAATGCATGTTTGTCTTTTCATCAGCAAAATGCAGGCTAAGAATTCGTCCATCGAACATTATGACCATTCATCAGTACCACTAGAAAAGCCAGTCAAACAGATATAGCTTTAGAACAAAGTTTTACAGTCAATCGATTGTTTCTTTTTAGATGCTATGATCCCTCCTTGATGTGAAAGATCTCATTCGCAATAGTTCTTATCAGAGTTGAGAAACAAGTTTCATCTCATACCAGCTTTTGGAAACCCACAAGTTGTTTTGCGCCATCTAAGAAATTCCAACGGAGTGCTAAATCTGCCAATTTATAGTCTTCTTTCTGCTCTTGTTGTTTTTCATCGTTTAATTGTGCTCCAGAAACAGATGGTCGTCTATCCGTTCGCTCTTTTTTCTTTTGTTCTCTCCTTGTACTAATAGCTATTGATATTTAATTCTAAATTCCAATTAGTTAACAAAAACAAATTATCCAAACCTGTAAATATTGCCTTAAATATAGTTTCAGCAACATTGACATCCCGATCGAGACGAAATACATGGAGCAGATGACGTTCTTCCGATTTTAATAAGTTTTTAAGTTCTCTGATCGATGTTAATAACTTATGTTTTGGGAATCCCACGAAGCTAGCTTCGAGCACCTTTCGAATTTCATCGTCTGTAAGCTCTCTAAAAAGTTGCATAGAAGATTTTTTTTAAAGCATCGAATCCTACCGAGATATTGTCCAGATTGGATATGGAAAAGTAAATCAAGAAACTTATTTATTGTAATGCTTTCATGATTTCAATTTTAGTCCATAGAAAAATGAGTCACTGGATTAGGATGGCCATAAGAGAATATGAGCTTATCTACTGCTACGATCGAATTACACAGAACAAAGTTTCAGAATCAGTTTTGATCTACCTTGCCTCACAAGACGATGGAAAACTGAAAATGAGACCATATTTACTTTAACTATTTAAAATTTTACATCGGTTACAATGCATCTATCACTAGCATATCACATTTCAATTATTTTTTAATAATGTATTTCATTATCAGTTCTTATTTACATTCGATTTTTCAAAAAAACAAGTGAATTAGACCCACAAATGATCTCACCTGTGGGAAAAATCATGGACTATCTTACGATTAAAAGAGGTTTGATCCAAAAACATTGATCTCTAGGAATTTTCCTGGTAGATTAGCTGAAATCGATCTTTTAACAGTGGATACTTCGATAAAAAGAAAATGACTTGAAGATATAAGATTCGATGCAAATTGCTGCACTGTGGTATGGATCATATTCTAGATACGAACCGTTGTTTATTTTGATCAAAATTAGTCGTCAATTCGATCAAATTCGACAGAACATCAGCCATACGTCCACTACCCTGTAAATAAGTCCAATTTAATTAAAATATCATTAGAATTTACTGCTTTTCCAACTCACATGAATAATAACAACTGGCCGACCGTTATCAATATCGAATTGTACTACTTGGGGTGTTCTAATTCCACCCTCAACAACGATCGTCACAGCATAGCCTGTTAGAGTTCAATTAATCTTTGTTGAAAATTCATATTATCGAAAATGCCTCCTTTACATGCATGACTATTTTTATCGTCACAAACGTGCTGGACAAAGCTACTTCGTTGAAAATCACTGAGATATCCACTGAGACTTCCACTATCGAATAGAATGCAATGGGTATGATGTGGATCGAGTGTTTCTTTGTCTTCTTGTACATCATCCCGAATCTGCCATTTGGATGCTTCATCTGATGAACCAGTCTTGAACAAAAAAGATCATTTTATATTTTACTGGATATTTACCCTGTACCTGACTAGCTTTCTTTAAATCAATTCGAGTTTTCTCATTAATACTACCCCACATTGTTAAACCGATACAAACAACATCTTTGGGATGTCGTCTCAATAGTCGATACTGGGATATACCTTCGCCGACAAGTTTCGATACTCCATTATTAAGGCCGGTTGTTAAAATCCACGCATCTGATTATGAATAACGAAAAAAATAGAAAAGGCAAAAGTTTAAAAAATAACAGATAAACATGCCTGCGATAGTGGCCACATCCACAATGCCTCGCATGAATTCCTTTTCGAGTCGTTCGGTTAACACGAAATATTTTGCACCACCATAAACGCTAATGATTATTGATGGTTTTTTTCCCTCACAATCGCCCAATATCAAAGGATAAAGTATTGCGGCAGTTGTCTGATTGGAGCATCTTATAAACTTGCAACCATTCCCCAAAATCCCATAGTGTTTCAGTAGAGTTTGACAGGTATATTTCGGGCCATCGACAAATGCAAATGTAGCAGGTGTATTATCAGTTATTACGCAGGTACCATCGTTGCTGTGTCGTCTAATGAGACGACCACAAGGACATGTATCATTCCGATTCTGTGAACGTGACTCTCGGTTGTATATTTTACAAGTTTTACCCTTGATTTTGTTTTTATCTTTCGCGTCAATAGCTGCAACTGCCTTGACCTGATTCAGCCATGTCGACTGAGATTGTGTTTTTTTATATTTTTCAAGAGGAATCGATACGCCGGACCCTTTTCGCATTTTTGTCTTTTGTATGTCAATAATTAAAAGATTTTATCTACAACTGAAAATAATTTCAATAAGCCTTTTTTCTTTCATAAAAAAATTGATTCGATAGATTTTAATTATCGGTAAATCGAATTGTATTTTCAAACTGTTTTGCGGAGAAGTTATCAAAAAAATGTCAAATCAATGCAACCATTTTCATGCTTTTTTTTTCCTCATTACTCTGGTTTTCAGCTAAGCTTTAGAAATTTTGTGCTCGCATGTGTTTAACCATTTTCAAAGAAAAATTGTATTGTTAGAACAAAACTAGTCAATACATTCTGTACCAAATTAGCATAGCATTTTGAATTTTGACTATTTTTACCTAATCACATTTTAGTTATTATATATTGGCAAGATGTATTCCTCGTATTTCTGCCCTATTGAGATCACGTATTGTGACACTGTTTCGATACTCGAGAAGCACTCAGAAAATTGTTCTATATCTGCAGACAGTTGATCGAGTGATAATGGCATCAAGTGTAGAAATTGTTTTCCTTGTTACTCTTGAGAAATCAACAGTATTTTTCATTCGGGGTTGAAAAAACGAAGTTTTTTTGTTTTTCCTGTTTCTAAATGAAAGCTAAAGGATGATCTGCTCAGCTATCTGATAGGCTTCAAGTATGACTTCAACGATTAGTAAAAGTATCGAGTAGATTTTCTACCAACTACTCAGGCTATTCGAAACTCCTCTGGCAATATATTCCCATATCATTTTCGTTGAATCTCTTGTTCATGTGGTGGCGATCGAATGATCATCTCTTGATAACGCTTCAGTTTTACTCATAAAAAGAAATGGTAGCTTTTTAAATCTGGTTTTTTGAATAAAGGACTTGAAAAACCGTTCTTACGACCATGCATCGAGTTCGCATGCTCTTATTTTTATTTAATTTACAGTCATTCGTAAAATGAAACAAACAATTTTGTGCACTGGGTGTGGGTGTGGGTTGGGTTTGGGCGTGTGGTGGTGTGGGCCTGTGTGAACCTTTACTCTTCGTGTTTACACCCACACACTCGCACCCCGGCCGGTCGCCGGTAGACCAGTCAATTACACTGTAGATCAGCCGGTCACCAGTCGACCACTCGTTTCCAATATACCGGTTATCATCGATCTACCTTATTTACTTTTGTGTTTTTATTATCTCATAAATAATGCTAATGAACTTTTATTGATGGTCCGCTATGTAAAGCATTATTATTCAGATCTGGAATCGCCATCTACAAGCAGTCGGTACTAATTTAAGATTGGTCGATCTTCCCGTAGACCAGTCATTACTGATAGACCAGCCGATTCGGTCCGATCGGACCTTTTCAGACCGGTGCCGGTAACGGTCGTCAAAAATCTAGACTGGTTCCATCTCTGACCTATTCATATTTTATATTGCTATTTTCTTTTTGCCTTTTCTACGAAAGAACACAATAAGAAATTTTGCAGTAAAAATTTAGTATTCGACTTCATCTGATGCATCAGTGTCCTTTCGTGTCTAGTAGCAATTCCCACAATATTGCTTGCAAGCTTCTGCTAAATAGACGTATCAAATGCTATATTCATAGAAAATTCAAAACTACGCATATAATACGACAGACCTTAGTACTTCACTATTTTACAATAACGCGTTCTTCTGAAATAAATTGTAGAATAAAATCATGATCGTATGAGTAATTTTTCTCACTTACAACAGGTGCAACAGGTTAAAAACCAACTCAAATGAGTTCTTTTTCTCCTTTCTTTCTTCTTCGTCTTTTTTCCTCTGCTTTTGCTTCTTTCTTTCTCTTTCTTATTTTCCTTCGTATTGTTTTTCTTTTCTTCCATTTTTCTTCTACAACCCAGCAAATCAATATCAGTACTCGTCATAAGCATATTAACTAGCAGGAGCTAAATTTCGACCATATGTGATATTTATTTCAACCAGAGCTATCTTTTTCTTCTCTCTCTTCTAAATGTGTATTATTTTAAAAATTTGTTGAATAAAACATTATACGTTATTTAGCCTTGTTTCATAGGTAAATAAGTATATCCATCTTTCTCTTTTCGTTAAGAATAACTATACTGCTCTTTTGCATGTTCTTTTACTTCTCATGTTTGCTTGTAGCACTGTTCTGAATTATTATCTCGTCCTTACTTTTTGCAAGTTCTGCATGTTTATTTGACTTTGTTATCTGGTTACTGTTACTTTTAGATAGCGAAGCAAATGGCGACAAACTCTAGTCGGGAAGGTAACGATTCGTAACGGTTGGTTACGAAAGCCCAGTAAGAAGCAGGGCTTTCGTAACAATGTAAAATGCATAAATCATAAAAAGCAGGGCTTTCGTATCGATTTTCGACAGGGCTTTCGTATCGTTTTAGACAGGGCTTTCGTATCATTTTTTAAAGAGCTTTCCTATCAAGTTTACAGGGCCTTCGTAACAATTTTGACAGGAACTTCGTATCGGTCTTACAGGATCTTCGTACCGTTCTTACAGGGCTATCGTAACGTAAAAGGATTTGGTATGATCTTTAGTTAGATGTCGCTGACAGGATTTCATATTGAAATTAGTGATCTACCAAAATTATAACATAAATAGTTCAAAAGTAGAAAGTGAGAACCAGCATATAAGTATAGACAAATTTTTATCTTCTTGTAAATCTCTTTCTTAGTAACAACAAAAAGTAACAAAAACCCGGCAATACATAAAGAGGGAAGGGTGAACGAGAACAATATCCAGATAATAGAATTAAGAATACACATAATTGATTTCCTCGATTTTAAGTCAACAACTTTCACAAAAAAAGGCGTACATAATTCTGGAAAAACATAGAGAACTAAAAATAACAACGACATCTATGAATGTATACAAATAATTCATTCACACCCTAGAGAAAGTACTGAGTTCAGGGTACCCATGTACTGAGAAAGCTCTAGCAGGGTACCCAATATGGGTACTTTGAAAATTCTCAGTAATTTTACTGATGTATGTACTGTTTGGGGTACCCGTAAAAGTACATTCACTGAATAAGTACCTGCATGGATACACAAGTCTGTAACTTTACTGAGGAAATCTCGACAGGGTATCCTAAATTTTTCGCGTTCTGTGTGGCGACTATTCATTCACCGTTTTCTTTTTTGCGTACGGCTCTATATAAACAACTAGATAAATCATAAGAAAATAATCAATTTTTATACTAGTTTTCTCTAAATTATTTCTTGACTATTTCTTAGTCGAGGAAATGCCGAGCTTGGTCGTAAATTAAGATCGGACTACCCTGAAGTGGTCTACGACCAACTCAAGTTGAGTCGGATCCCGACATTGTTCCTGCTAAGTTTTTGGAATTGAAAAAATTAAATTGAATAAAGTAAAAAAAAATCTAGTAAATTATCTCAAGAAAAAGAAAAAATTTTAAAAAGTCAAAGATCAGGTTCGATCCTGCACATACTGAAAATTTGGTAACAGGGTACTTAGAAATACCATACAATGGTACCCAATTCAGTCCTTGATCAGTACCTTTAGGTACCCAATTACTGTGCATTTTCCAGCAGGGTACTTGCCAAAGTACCACTTAAGTACCTGTAAGTACCTGCAAGTACTTTGGTACCCAAAAGTTCCTGTGACATACTGGTATCAGGGTACTTTTTTGGGTACCCTTAACTCAGTATATTCTCTAGGGCAGTATAGTACCATGTATTTGCACCATTTAGGTATATAAAACTTGTTACGAATGGATCCCACTTAATGACTTAAGCTATATTTGTAAGCATGGGTATTTGTAACGAATGCCCTGTTCTTTTTAATGCCAGTCTTTCATTTTGGTTATGAATGCAATAAGAACTTGATTACGAAAGCCCTGTCAAAAACGATACGAAAGCCCTGTATAAGTTTGATACAAAAGCCCTGTCAAAATTTGATACGAAAGCCTTGTCAGAATTTGTTACGAAAGTCCTGTCAAAATTCGTTACGAAAGCCCTGTAGTAAAAACGATGACAGGGCTTTCGTATTACGAAAGCCCTGTAAATTTCTCGTTACGAATCGTTACACCCCCCTCTAGTCTCAATTCTGCTTATCCTTTGACAAAGTCTGGAAGAATCTTTCAGGATCTGGAATCTCAAGGATCTTGTCAAGTTTTATTCAGGATCCTGGGTGTGGGTGTGGGTGTTGATGTAGGTGTGTGGAAGTGTATCTCTTCTCTCACATACCCACTCACACCCACACCCTCGGCTTGCAAGAAAATGTTTTGGTTGCGATACAAATATTAAAAACGTCTACTGTAGTACACGCTCACATTGCATATCAATCTGACATTGTCATCAAACAAGGCCTTGCCAATTTCTAAAGCTGCTGTTTTTTTTCCATATTCAGCATGCACTTGTCGACATTGGATCTGAGGCTAGAGTAAAATATAAATGCGGGACTCTAATGCCAGAGAAAAATGTTTATTTCATGATAGTCATGATGGTTATACAAGCAATTGATGCAGTAATAGTCTTGCAATGATTACATGAGCTTAGCATGGATATGATCATCTATTTGGATTCTATTCAAAAAGAAACCTAGCTATGTTTCAATCAGTAGGGTACCAACAGTATTGTTAAGTTCTTTCGCTGTTGGATCGAATTGAAAGAACGAATTATTCCTTCGACAAAGCTGATGAAAGAGACTTTTGTAATTATTTTATAGTAAGTATTTAATACGACAAAAGTCTTTCTTTGTTCTTTTCGATTATTTTTACTATTGAAAAGGAATCAGTGAAAGTTATCCGGATTCAGAAGAGAGCGCGAACTGTTATCAATCCTCCGGGGCTTATGAGAACTTTTTTGTTCTGACACATACAATTAATATATAAGAGATAACACAGAGATACACGTTGCGATCTTCAGGAAAGATAGCTCTGGAAAACTTTCCCACGACAAAGAGTGAGTTTTCATAAATATGAAACGATTGTTTTGTAGGTACGGGATGTTCCACTGAGAACTTTTGTTTAATACAACATACTAATGTGTCTGATACGAATATACTCTCCCTATGAGATATACTAGGGTGTGGGTATGTAGATGTGGGTCTGTAGTGTGGGTGTTGATATTGGCGTAGATAAACAGGAGACACACCTATTCATACTCATCCCACCTATACCCACACGCTCTTACATGAGCATCTAGTTTTTAATTCTAAAATAAAAATAATGCCATAAAGCTGTTCCATTTTATTCTTAGAAAAAAAAATGCTTTCAAATGTTTTTTTATTAGTTAAGCGAACAGAGTGAACGCTTGATCATCATCCTCTTCTAATAAATAAGCTTGATGTTCGTATTCTCGACAAATGAGTTCCTTATCGACGGTTTCATCTTTAAACTTATTGTGCATATTTTCAGCTAGTCGAAGTACTAATGAAATGGTTCCTCTTTCATCGTCAAATTGTTCAACATCTTTAAGTAATGCAATTTTTTCAGTAACAAGATCCATAGCTTCTTTTCTTTTGCCATCTTTCACTAATTCAGCGACTTTTTTATCCATATCAGCAGCCGTTTGAGTAGCACACATGATTTTTACACGAGGATCAATCTCCATAACAAGTGATTCATCTTCTACAAGTTTTAATGATAATGTATTTTTAATCACCGTAGGTTCACCAGTAGGATCATTTGGTCGAGTGTATCATAATTCATATGTAAGTGTTTCGATTTCATTTTCACCAGCAACTGCTGTACCAGAAGTTGTGAATTCACAAAGAACTGATCGTCGATTATCGAAATAAAGTTCACCAAGACTTGCACCAGCAACAATATTTTTATCACCCCATATCTTTGTAACAACAGCTCCATTTTTACCACGTACAATAAGACGAGCTGCTGATCCACATATACCAAAGACATTTACAAGAACTTAGTAACTAATGATTTAATCATTTGAGCTGATTCAAGAAATACAAATTTTGATCCTCCAACATCAGCAATACCTTTCATAATTTCAGTATCAAAATCAGCACCAATACCGAATGAATCAGTTATAATGCCTTCATTATTATATCCAGCGACAAGATTTGTTAATTCAGCTCGTGTTTTCATTCCAATATTAGCTTGTCCATCAGAAAAGAGAAACATACAACGTGAATATCCATTATAAACATATTTCTCGAGGAGACTAGCAGCTACTTCAATAGCACCAGACATGTTTGTTGAACCAGCAGTTTCAATTTTGTCTACAGTAGGGTGTGGGTGTGGGAGGGTGTGGGGTGTGGGTGGGTGTGGGTGTGGGTGTGGGTGTCGTTTGTGCTACAAATGCAGACACCCACACCCACACCCCATCCTTATTGTTATTACTAAGAATCTACAAATCCGCCATTATTATTTTCAATTCCGATCAAAGTCTTTCACTATTTCCAATTTCAAGAATCGAGCTTTTTCGATAACTTGGATAGAATTTTAAATAGACAAATAGGTACAATACACATCAATTTGGTTCACACTAAAATAAAATGTGCTGATGTGTCTCAACGAGCTCCTCGTGTCGCATCTCTTGCGTTCTTCGCTAGCCAACATATAGCAACCAGCGGAGAACGCAAGAGATGCGACACATAAAAATTGCGATACGAGAAGCTTGTTGCGACACATGCGACACATTGTATTTTAGTGTATTCGATAGCAGTTTAACTATTCTTTTGATTGTGCATTTTTTTGGTCATTATTTTCCTATTTCTATCATGAACTCTTTAATGTTGTTATTGCACTTCTCTATATTTCAAACAACAACTTTATTATGACTTGGAAATGCAAGTAGAAATCGAAAAATTGAGGCTTAGTCGTGCAAAAAAGCACTTGTTTAAAGAAAACAGGACCAGAAGCAATACAAAGTTTCAATCAGAAATGGAACTAAGACCAACAAAAATCTAGTAGATACTGAAACCAAAAGAATTTCATTGACACCAGAACTGAAACAAAAAAAAGATTTTGCAGACACCTAAGCCAGTGTGCACATATAATCTTTTAGCTTCGATACGATGTTAGCTTTATAATTTAGTAATATCAATTCGACGTATATATAAAGATAGTTAATGTCTGAGAGAGGTCAAAAACAGACTGAAGGAAGGATTGAGTCCTATGCTTCAATTTCTAGTTACGCCGCTATGAATAACGCTTACCAACAATCTTTTTAAAATTGTTTTATTTATTTTTGATTGACGATACTTTCGACTTTTCCAGTTTCACAAACAATGCTTGTTAAATACGGAAATTTCATTTATTTATATAAGAACTTCCATTTTTTCCTATTGTTATATTCGATTTCTAATATTAGCTTTTATACTAATGGCTTTGTCCATAACGGCCATATATCCAGATATTAAAATCAATGGATTAATCGAAGGATTTTATTGGTCAAGTTCGAACGCAGTTCAAGGTCAGGCCAATTTCTACTCGAAACAACAACGTGATAATTTGATTTCAATGATGGGTGAAGGTGTAAATTATTATATTTTTTTGTCCTCACGAAGCTGGAAATGATGCATTTACAATGACTCTATGGAATGCACAGCAAGTTATAGAATGGTCTGATACTATTTCTAAGGCTTCGAATGTTTCAATTATTTTCGGCTTACGACCTCAATGGATTGAAGATGTTCAAACGTCGTTGAAAAAAATTCAATTGAAATTAGAACAATTAGCTTCAGTTGGAATTCGTTACTATATTTTATGTTGGGATGATTCATCTGGTGCTGGTACAAATGCGCAAATGGAATTACAAAGAGATCTCATAAAAGCTCTTGTGAATCAAGTGACAAACATTGAGCTAATTGGTATTATTCCTGCTTCTTATTCTCTATCCCAAATATCCAGCTCTACTAACATCGATTGGAGCAAACAACTTGCTATTTTGAATGAAATTCCAACGAACATTCGATTTTTCGTTACTGAATCAGCAACTAATCCATCGTCCATTCAAACATCCAATATTCCTTCTTTAACGAATCGTCAATTCATTTTCTTTGATAATTGGATAGCAGTTGATTCAAATTCCCGAGTGACTATGACCTGGCCACCGAATCGTGATCCCAACATCTACCATGCTGCTTGAGCGATTTCTGATTCGGTGTTAAATCTAGCATTTCCACCAGAGAGAATAATTCATCAGATGTATGCCTTAAAACAAAGAATCAATAATCACTATGCTAACATAAATGCAGATTTAGCAGCTGAATATTGGGCAAAGTATCTGGTAGCAAATAATTTCTACGATTACAATTCCTTCAAACAACTAAAAACAAATTTGAAAGGATTGATCAACGATGAGCTCGAAACAAATAATAAGATTATTCGACGCTATCCGTTTCTTAAGAGAATGTTTACAAATTAACAAACTTCTGTTTCTCACAAATGATGAATTCAATAAACAAAAACTTACTTTTACCGCACTCTCTAAGGATCTGATTATGATAGGTGAAGAGAAGAGTTATATCTTCACCGACACCTACATTCACCATCCTCAAATGTGGAAATGTTCTTCTTTTTCAATAGCATTTCCCATGTAAAAATAACAAAATGGAAAAATCTGATTTTAATCAAATACATATTGAAAAAACCGATTAAAATCAGATTTTTTCCATCTTTTTTCCATGGTTACCATCGAATCAATTTTAATCTATTACTGTTTCTTGATGAATTTTAATCTATTCTTACTTGTTATTCGATTTTAATCTATTATTACTTCTTAATGTATTTTAATATATTATTACTTTCTCTAACAAAAATCCGTTTCCTGGAAAATCGAAACCTGTTCAGACACCCTTACATTTCCGACAATACCGGCTTCGACACGTGAAAAGTATTTTAGAATCCCTTTTTCGTACTATCGCGAACCTATTAGTATATTCAGAAACCATTAAGATATTATAGGAAACTAATATTGTCAAAAGACTGAGTTGGTGTCTGAAAGGATTTCCGGATATACCTCTTCATTTATCAGATATTTTCCGAAAATACTGAATTTTAAAATGGTATAAGGGGAAACCGAAATCCGCTTCCGAATGTTTGTTTGACCCCTGAAAGATTTCCGAAGTTTTGAAAATTCTCAAAACAAAATCCTTCGCCACAAAAACAACTACCAATTTTTGTTGTATTTCTTTTTTGATAGTGATAATATAAAAATCTATCGTCATTAGACGTATGTGTGTTCATTAACTTCAGTTGAACAATATCTTGCTCTACTTGTTCGTTTCTATTGTTTAATGAATCTTAAATTTCATCCCTGTCGTACTGCTGTAAGATTTCTATATGTTTATTGTATGAATGATAAACAACAGCAGTCAAGTAATATTCGAAGATTCTCTAAAAAATACAACATTAAACTTCAAGATAAATCCTTCATCATCATCAAAGCCTCGATTTGAACAAACAGAAAATAATGAAGCATCATTTAACAATGATACTATCAATAATGATGGTGGTGTAACAGTTATGTATCAACTAAATGATAATAAAGAAATATCAAATTGGGTTCAAATGTTACCATCTCAACCAATTTCAATTGATCCACAAATAGGGCTGTCAAATTCCAATATAAAAAATCAAGAGTGTCTCAGTAAAACACCACTAGTTGACCAGAAAATTTTACTGAAAAATCAGGAGGAAAAACTAGTAGATTTGTATGGAACTGAAGCAACTATGTGACTGACTTCTCTCGGAAGAAACTGAAATTTTTGTTCAGATAACTGTGTTCATCTACTGTCAAGTTAGTGATGACAATATTAACCTCTAAGCGATACACAAGGAAGAGAAAGAAAGATAATTTGCACTTTTTCCAAAAAATGAACAAGATGCCGTATTCGATAACCATGCTTTTTTAATTTTCACAAATAAAGTTTTGTTACTTTCACGCATGATCATGAAGCAGTTTTCGATTTGAACTTTTTTCAGTGAAATAGAATCAATATTTTTACCTGATGTGGTAAAGTTTGTTACAAAAAATTTCCTTCCATAAATCTCAGACTTCACTGTTCTTATCTTCTTGTAGCGCATGTAATCGATAAATATACAGTCGGATCTTTCTTTTTATTCACATTTGCACAATTCTTTTGCCATAGAATTTGTTTACGAAATTGATCATTTTAATTTTGCAGAACTCAAGTAGAAACAACATGTTCTCGTATCGATTGTTGTATCTATGAAATAGTGTGATAGTTGTTTTTTTTGTTTTATTGATTCAAGATGTCATGAAAACTTAGAACGACAAATCTCCTAAAAACCAGGAGAGAATCTAAAAAACCAGCTCCTGGTTCTAGGAGATTTTTTCACCAGGAGAAAAGTATAAAAGTCAGGAATCTCCTGGCTAAATTGAGAGATTTGACAGTCCTACCCACAAAGTACTAATAAAAGAAAAGAAGATGAAATGTGTGTTCCTGAACAATCATCTAAAGAAAACACTGAACCAACTAAAAAAGTTGTTCGCGCTACCCGTCGAAAACCACGATGAAATAAAAAAATCAGGGACTAAAGCAAATAAAACTTGTCGTGAATATCCTCTCTATCTCTTCATTGAACAATGGCTTGTCTTCGCTACGATTATTATCTTTTTAAAAAGTATCAAATGTTTTTCTTAGTCAAGTCATTTTCTTTTTAATTTCGATTCTCCGTCAGACTGTATTTTTACCATTGTTTTCAGAAAAGTCATGCAGCTAAACTTATGTTTTCTATTGATTATCACTTTTTATTACCAAGCGTTCATTATCATTTTTTTGATTTTTCTAATAAACGACTCATCTTTTCTCAAATAAAACTAAACTATTAAAGACGAATGCTTCTGATTAACAACAACAAAGTGACTTCCTATTCATCTTGTTGAAACATCAAACCTAATTTATGGATTACGAAAACGAAAAAACAACTTCGGTTTTTCCAGTAATCTTCATACTATACAGATAAAAATTTTAGCTTCCATAAAAGAACGTGGAAAATAAATATTTTCGTTTTCCAGTTTCAGAAACATATTCGGCAACCATCCACGGTATCTAACACATTACATAAAGAAGATAAATATGCTGTTCATATGTACTTTAAATAGACACCATCAGTTTGTGAACGACCATTCAATTATTAGACACTATTATTTTCTTTGTTTTACAATCACATCTACCTTATAGACATCGAAAGTTACATTTAAGAATTAAAAACTACTATTAAATTTTCTTTTGTTTTAGATTCTTCAATTAGCTCTCATTAAAATGGTAACTTCCCAACCGGTCATTCGATGGCTTTCGACGCGTCGACTGAAGCTACCGATAGGCATTGTAGTTCCCGATTGAGTTCATGGAGGGGATGGTTGTGGGTCTGGGCGCAGGTGTGGGTGCGGGTGTGGGTGCGGGTGTGGGTGCGGGTGCGGGTGCGAGTGCGGGTGCGGGTGCGGGTATAAGTCTTCTTATCGCAAACATCCTTATGGACACACCCACACACATCAACAATCACACTTACATCCACGTCCACGCCCACACCCACATTAATAAGCTCCATCATTGAACGCTTTTCAGCACATCAATAGCTCTTGAACATTTATATGATGCACATAATCTTCACTCAAAAGCAAATAGTTCATTGGTGAAATTCCCTTATTCATCTTGGTTTTCTAGCGATCAAATAAATACTGAGGGTGTGGGTGTAGGCGTGTATGGGTGTGCATGTGGCTGCGTGTGTGAATGTCGGTGAATTAGGAGGAGTCAAAGATCAACATCCAGACTGACACCCATACCCACACCCATATTCACATCCACACCAACACCCAATTTTGTCATAAAAACAGTAAATGTTGACAAAACAGGTGAAATAGAAAAAAACCCTGTGCTTGCTCATGACGCACCTCAATATTTCAACTCATAAATAACGCATTTCATTGGTCGGAGAAACAGTTGACGATGCAATCACAAATCACTATCTACTCGTATAGTTATAACTCTTATTACAGGATAGTGTAAATATATTTCCAGTTTTAGTTGCTTTACTTAACATCTAGCAAAATTTGTCTTCTATTAATAGATCGAATAGGGTGTGGATGTGAGTACCAGTGCGGATATGGGTGTGGTTTTTTCCTTGTCTGTCTACATTCATATCCGCACCCCAACTTCTCACTGTTCCAAGCTTCACATTTGCAGTGTGTATTCCGTACTCTTCTTTCTCTTTTGCACTTATTCGCTGTTTTCGTTCTTGATTTCCTATAGATTGTGATTCTTTTTCTTCTTTCAATTTCATTTCTTTTTTTAATGTGATATCTTTTGATCACATTGCCATCGCTTTGTTGTATTTGCTTTCTTTCCAATTAACTCTGGATTTGTGATGATTTATATACGAGCGTTTTTCTCTGATCTAGTTGGATCGATGTAGTATACTTGTTGTGTTCTCCTATGTAAGTGTTTTATGGCGTGTATGTTTTTATCGAAGAAAACCAAAGAAGGTTTACAAAGAATTTATATACTAATGATCACTCTATTGCAATTTTCTCTTTCCTCTTTTTCTACTTTTGTCCTCCAAAATTACCAGATGAACAGCGATGAAACCGTTGCAAATTATCTAAGTAACATAACCGTTGGATAATGGGAGCTACATAATCACGTCTATATAAAACTCATTGCACTTCTCTTAACCATGTCGCACTTTGTGTTAGTTTTATCTTTTTTAGTTTTTATTCGTTCGAACAGATGGAAACTCAAATCACATGATTCCCACCTTTTTCTCTTCACAGCCTTTTTTTTCGTTTTTTCCTTTTGATTTTCATTTGTTGACACACATATATATGATTCCCATCGCATTCGTCTTTCTCCTTGTATTTTCTTTTTATTTTTTGTTTTGTTTCTTAATTTTTATTCATCGAATGCGATGGAAATTAAATTCGAGAAGATAAGATATAACTGTACTAACAGGTAATTAGGAACCAAACAGTTACTATCTACCGATCCGTTACTGGACAATCGATAACGAAAACTGTATCACTTATCGAGTGATTGGTTGTATTACGAATATCCCTAGGTTTTCATCAATCGTTGTCGTTTCTTTTTTTTGACTCCTATATGCTGCTATCAAATCAAATTATGAGAGAAGAGTTAATGTCGTCTTAACGTTCCATATTCAGTTACTCACTTAGCCTCCTATATATTTCAGATCTTATTGCAGTTAAAATTGATTTGCATCGTAAACCATCACAATGGAACCATTTCGCATGCTTTCACTTATGATCTTTGTTATTCTTCTTCCTTCCGCCGTTATTGCACAATATGGATTCTGTACGGCCACGAACGGTCGTCGTGGAGAATGTATCAGCACCAGCAAATGCAAAACCAACGGTGGATCATCGGATCCTGCCAATCTCTGTCCTGGTGACAACTCTATTCAAGTATAGATGTTTGACATTAGTGTGCATCATTTCATTAATGTTTCCATTTCCATTATAGTGCTGTACCTATCGTACTTGCACGAACACTAAAGGTGTTGGCGGTATGTGCCAGCCGACTGCGACCTGTAATGGAAACTCTGATCCAGCCAATCTATGTCCAGGTCCCAACCATATACAGTGTTGTACTAGTAACGGTGGCGGAAGTAGTAATGGTAATCTTCCAGGTCTCGATGCAGTCCAGTCAAAATATGCTCGTATCATCGCCAAGACCGCCCGTGATTACGGACTTCCAATACGTGGCTGTGAGGTAGCAATTGTTACTGCCATTGTCGAATCCAACATTCGGGTTTATGCCAACTCAAAAGTTCCTGAATCGTATAAATATCCTCACGATGCTGTCGGTAAGTCACTATGAGAAATTATGTTGTCTTAGCTGATTGATTCTTCTACATATTAGGATCTGACCATGATAGCGTGGGTATCTTTCAGCAACGACCAATATATTGGGGAAGTGTGAAAGATTGCATGGATCCCAAAACCAGTGCTGGCAAGTTCTATGCAGCTCTCAAGGGAATCAGCGGATGGCAGAACATCAGTGTTGGCGCGGCAGCACAGAAGGTGCAGCGATCGGCTTTTCCTTTACGGTATGACCAGCAGGCGTCCAAGGCAAATGCTATTTGCCGTGCAGCATACTGAACATTCTGATAAGAGAAAATGATAGACACGGCTTACAACGATTTGAAAGACTTGCTTAAACTGAAATATTTCTATTTGAAGTAAATCATACTGCATCTTTCAAAATTTTATCAAGTACAGAACAAAAACAAAGTAAAAAGCAGGCAATAGTAGGCTAGGAACCTAACTTGACATTTACAAGAAGCGAGAAAGTGCAGATATTTCTTACAAGAATGACGTTAAAAGCGATGCCATTCGCTGATTATCTAGGGTATGAGTATGGATGTAGATAAAAATAAAGAGAATAGGGTGTGTGAGCAAGGGTGTGGATTTAGGATGTGGGTGTGAGTGTTGGATGTGGATGTGGGTGTGGTGTGGATGTGAGTGGGGTCTGTGAGTGTGGGTGTGGGTTGGGCGTGTGTGGATCCCAGGCAGACAAAAAAAGTAGAAAAACGTGTTTAAACGTGCAGAGCTTTTCGACCGTGTCTGACTGCCAATCAAGGTTCCCGACCGTGTGTCAGTAACAACCAGTATAAGTGGACGTGAAAACGATCACTTTTTCGCGCTGAATAAAATTTAAGTATGTTCACTGCGCTAAGATATCATCATTTTCACATTCACTTCTTCTAAACATTAACGACTCAAAATCGGGAACCGCGATTGGCAACCGGTCACGGTCAGAAAAACTTGACATTAAGACGATCCTTTATTTCACTATGGTGAAAATATTTAACATTTAAACGGTTCATTTTATGAAACAGATTAGGATTTAGTTGTCATTCCTCTTTTTAGACTCACAGACGGGAACCGCAATTGACAACCGGCCACGGTCAGAGAATATGGACGTTAACATGACCGTTTTTTCACTATGTTGAAAAGGGTGTGGGTGTGGGTTATGAGTGTAGGTAAGAGTTAAGAGTAAACCCACACCTCACACCCACACCCACACCCACACCCATAGTCCACACCCATAATCCACACCCACGCCACTCTCTAAAAAAAAGGAGCTTTGCCGAACCCCTCGAAAAGGTTCTGTAGATTTCTAAAAGCATCCAAATGTGTCCAAAGTCTCAAAAAAGGATAAAAAATTCGACAGAACCTTTTGTTGGTTTTGTGGGGTATCCACTATCAGAACCATCTCCCACGAAACCTTTTTTTAAGTTCTGTATGGCAAAAAAGGTTTCCGTGAGAAAATACGAAACCTTGAGGGTCCAGTACAAAACCATTAGAGTTTCGTACCAAAGGTCAACCGTTTTGTACTGAACCCTCAAGGTTTCGTATTTTCCCACGGAAACCTTTTTTTGCTGTACAGAACTTAAAAAAAGGTTTCGTAGGAGATGGTTCTGATAGTGGATACCTCACAAAACCAACAAAAGGTTCTGTCGAATTTTTTATCATTTTTTGAGACTTTGGACACATTTGGATGCTTTTAGAAATCTACAGAACCTTTTCGAGGGGTTCGGCAAAGCTCCTTTTTTTTAGAGAGCAGACATCCACACCCACACCCACCCCACACCCACACGCACACCCACCCACACCCACACCCACACCCACAACACCCACACCTACACCTCACCCCCACTTCCACGCCACCCACACCCACATCTACACCCTACCCACACCCACATCTACACCCTACCCACACCCACACCCTATCTGGAAAAAAAATAAGAAAGAAATAGATTTTAATTCTAAAAATATGACTTACATTGTCGATCATGTACTCTTGAATCTGAAGCAAAAACAAATGGAGAATTAGTCTTTGGTTCTTAAAAAATAAATTCTGAATATCAGTCAAATAGAGAGTGGAGGTGACTATAAGATCACTTCTCAGCCAGCAGGTCACATCCACACACACCCTCATTCTTCATTTTTTTCTATTACAAAATAAAAATAAAGAACAACTCAAAAAAAAGAGGACAATACTAGGAATAGGATTCATTGCTTTTTGATAACAACATGTACATGCATTGCTTAGATATCATATTGATGACCAAACCTATGGCAACTCTCAGTTATATGAACTGCATATTTTCCAAGAACTGGGTAAGGAGATCAGTATGTGAGGATAGTTACTCTGACCAGTCAATTACGTTACCAGTTACTGGATATTCAAAATCCGCGAGGGTGGGTGTGGATGTGAGTGTGGAGTTTGTGGAGATGCATATGCGTGTGAACAGTGAGTATGGATTTTTTTCTATATTATACAGCCACACCCACTGTACCCCATCCACACACCCAACTTTAAGTAGTCATAATTAATTGATATTTATTATAACAGGAAGAGTAATTTGAGTATCGTTTGTTGTGCGGCTACAAGAACGAGCCTAGCATAAATAATTTGTTAACAATTTTGTTTTCAAATATTTAGTAAATATTTTGCGTTGTTACTCTATCGAACGAAAAACAATTAAACGATGAAAACATACTCGAGTGTCTTGTGTGTGTTCATCGTCGTCTGCTTCGTACTCACATCGGACCATGCGCGCAATAGCAATGTTTTCTCTCATTGTTTTCTTCTCGTATTCGATTAAGACAGCGGAACATGTGAGAGAGAAAAACGAAAAATAGAAATAGGACGGGAGAAGAACTTTCTTTTTTCCTTTTCTCACCCATAAGTCATTGCTCATATTATCGTTGATGATCAATTAACCTATATTCGCACATATACATTGAGATATTTGTGATTGAATTTATCTCAATGTATACATATATTCAGATGAAAACTTAATTGAAATCAGCTTACAATCGATTTTCGACTATAAAAAGATGATCAAATTTTCCTCCTTAAAAAAATTTCGCGATATAAATATAAATGATTTCCAACGAAGAAATCATTTTATTTTCAATTTCAGATTGACTTTGACGATACAAAATTTAGTCAATCAAGAATAAGCAACCCAACAAAAAATAATTGAAGGTAATAGTTTTAATTTTTAGCTTTTCTTTCTTCGGATCATATAAACGGTGATAAGTCCTCCTTCTATCTTTTTACTAATACTTTTTTTATTATAGAGAATAAATAGTGAAGAAAATAGATAACAGCGGGGGAAGTTATTCTTTTCTATTCAATGCATTTACTTCTAATTAATTGTTTCTCCTTTTAATCAACAATATCATTAGATTGCGCCATCGTTCAACATCAAACAAGGTGAGTAATGATGTTTTTGTTTTTGAGTATGGGAATAGGGTTACTCTAAACAATGTGAGTGTTAATAAGAGGGAGGAGTGTGCCATGTCCGTTGAGATTAGGCTTCGATTATCTAAAGAACCTCTGGATAGTCCCTAAAAGTCCGGTCGGTAACTGTTTCGGTGTCCGTGGCATGCGACCGAACCTTCGGACTCCTTGACACATGACATCAAATGGGTGCCTATGGGTGACATAGATCTTCCCGAGCATGCATAAACTTTATGCTCGCAACGGTCCCATCAGAGTGGTTCCTGGTTACGCGTGCGAATAGAATAGCTATTAATTCTTTTTCATTCAATCGCGATTTACTTTTCAGTGAAAGAGAATAAAAATAAAATTAACCACCGTTCTTAGTTCATTCTATATTAAATTTCTGTACTCGATGATTTCCGTTATCGACGACATAGAGATTACCGTGTTGATCGAATGATAAACCCATGGGAGAATTCAGTTGATCTGACTGTGTTCCTGGACCGTTTCCTCCAATAATCACACTTCCCTTTGTGGCTCCTTTTGACCAACGCATGATTCGATGATTCCAAGAATCAGCCACATAGACAGTACCCAGTTTGTCGACAGCGATTCCTTCAGGATGTGACAATTGTGTAAGACTATTTCCTTGTCCTTGGCCACCGGCTACGACAATACCTTGTTTTGCACCCTTTTCCCATTTCATCACACGCTGATTATAATAATCCGACACGTATAATGAATGATCTCGATCGAAAAATACGTAGGTGGGACCAGAGAGTTGATCTAAACGATTTCCTTCTCCGTTGCCACCTGCAACCACTGTTCCTTCTGAATCACCAATTTTATATTGTCTCACTTCATGTTCATCACGGTCAACGACATAAAGAGATCTATTGTTATCCATTGTCAAACCGATGCATGAGATATTCGAAATGATTGTTTTTCCACTAGTACCATTTTGATGTGGCCATCGAACTACCCGTTTATTGTCGGTATCGCTGATTATGAGACTATTTGTCTCTTTGTCAACAATCACATCTGTTGGGCTGTTTAACTGATGAGTTCCATTTCCTTCGCCAGTTCCGCCGGCAACCACTTTTCCATTCGTTGCACCACATTTCCATTTCACAATACGATTATTTGAAGCATTAGCAACATAAATTGTTTGATTATCATCGACATACAAACCACATGGGAAATAGAGTTGATTGATTCCACTGCCTTCTCCATTTCCTCCAGCCACAGTAGTACCATTCTGTTTCCATTTTGCATTTAGAGGAATATTAGTAGAACTTGCACGTAGTGGTACTGGAATGAAACAAAAGTATAGAATAGAAATAAACATTAATTTCATTGAAATAAGTCCTTCATTTGTTTTGAACAGTACTGAACTACTCTCAATTACAAAAATTTATACTTTTGACTTCATTACAGTGCGATTTTCTCAATGTTTAAAATAAACATTATTGATCTCTAAGTATTTTGTTCTATTTAAAGTTATTCATACGAATGTTTCTGGCTACTTATCAATAATTTCTGAACAAGATCATTCTTTTCCTTTTTTTCTCTTATAATAATCACCAGGACACTAAGAATCTGTATTTTAGTTTCTGGCGACCAAAGCATTTAGATCTGACGAAAAATTCTGACAACTTATAATGACAATTTTATAAACCAATCATAGTTTAAGAATCTGGGGGGCTGATCGATATCATATTAAAATCCGGGCAATTTTTGAAACAGATGTATAAATAATTCATGAGATATTCGCAAGGGCATTGGGTCCTAACGCTGCACCATATCGAACATTTAACTGGTATACTCGAAAAAGATTAAGAACACATTTATCAGAAGAAATGAAGCTAAAAGAATATGAACTTATGGTTTGTCTTATTATTACTTTAACATTTATTGGATACTATTGATACAAAACATATAAATCCGAAGTGGGCACAGGAAAACAGAATCGTTTTGTCCTGTGTCCAGCCCTGATACCCATCGATTCTTCTTAAGAGATACTGTCGCAACATTGGTGGTAGCATCTGATTTGTTTTCTTCTAGGAAAGAATGAGCGAGTTATAATAGAGTTTGAACGTGAGTAAAAATAACCGGATTATTCAAATAGATCTCTGAAAAGTATTTAACGAACATAATCTTTGTTTCACAGAGATTATTTTATCATTACAAAACCAGATCTGAATAATTTTTCTTCAGAATTCAGACGAATTGGTTTTTAAAATACTTCAACTCATGTTTTTAAAAAAATGATGAAGATTTGTAACTTCTGCATTTTCCATATATTGAAATGGATATCTCAACTTCAATTCTTATCGAATTGTGTGAAAAAAAGTTTTTGCTTCAAGAACTATTCTCGATCGAAATTAAGACTTTTGTAGGTGTTGTGTGAAGTATTTAAGAATTGTTTCACATGTTTCTTTTTGTATTAGAATAGCTTTGCAAATGGAAAAAAATTGAACGCCGAAATTCTTAAGTTTTGCGTATTTTTGTGCAGATAAGACTTTTTGCAATCCAAAAAGTTACATAGGTTTTCTCTTGAAATGATTTACTAAAAACCACTATCAGATTCAGTATGTCTAAGCCGTCAGACATGGTAAACATGAAAAGGCATTTAATATTTTATTATCTTTTTGTGTCAGAAAACAGTTGATTATTCATCAAAAATGTATTAATCATCATCGAACACGATTTGATTTTAAACACATCTTGTCTGTTTGCACTCATGTTTACAATAGTATTTTTTAGATTATAAAGAGTTATTTCATCTTTTTCTCTTTCTCAAAATAAAGAAGGAAACCTATCCAATTCCATTTGTCCTATTGACTATTTTTTAAGCGTGAACGCTCTACCATATTATAACATCCCAAAATGAATCGCTTTTGTTTCTCAAATACTCCATTACCAACTCTATAGCTATATTTGCATATTATTCGAACGTTCTGTCTCTTGATCATTTCTTATTTCGTCACAACCACTAAAAACATTCACTGGTCACCTTCATTTATATATTCTCTCCCTACTGATGACATAGATGAGTTTCTGAGTGTCCAAATCTAACAGTGGAATATAATGGTAAGTTTGTTGTACAATTCTTAAAAACCTTGTAATTTTTCCTACTATGTTTATTCGATACAAGTATTCGTGTTGATTTACGATTCTCAAAATCATAACATTCGGGATGGATGAATTGATCTGAGATTTTGTTTGCGATTAATTGAAATAATTCACTCCTTTTGAATTTGTCTATGAATAATCTAATTATAATTGAGATCTGATTCGAATTGAATGAAATCACAAAATCTATGTATGAAAAAAATTTTAGTATTATTTCTTTTCTTAGATCGAGGAAAAAAACACGTGCAAAACGGTATGAGAACTATAATTACATCAATAAGACTGATATGCAAACAAAATTTATTGATAATTATAAAAATAGATCAAAACTATCAATTTAAAAGCAATATGTATCAAATAATTCTAAGTTAAGGGTTAGAATTAAAACGACAAATTTTAGTTTTTCAACAGAAGACATTGTCGAATATAAAATGCTAGAAAATATAAAGTTCTGGTAGATATTTTTATTTTCTACTTATCTATAGATGATGACATTGAGCTATATGATATGATTAGTAATACTATAGATTAATTTTGATTAAATCAAACTTCTTAAATATCTTTTGTAAACATGGAAATAATCAGTCTGATCGGCTATTTAGCTTCTTTGTCTTATCGAAGTTACTTCAAGTGAAATCCATACTACACAAATATCAATTAATTGATGATATTAAAAATGATATATAAAATTATAACGCATTTTTTATTCTTGAAAATATTGAAATCATTTCTTTTTATGAATAAACATAGACGGAATTATTGAGAAAAATCAAACATCACTATTTTGTTTAATACTTTATCTGATTATAAGTCTATTTTAACTAGAAACTAAAACAGACGGCAAGATTATGGCTAACAGAACTATAGTACAGTCCACATATGTTATGTATTGCAAAAGACAGATACGAGTGTTCGAAATATAAACAACAAATCTCAACTTACTGTTTTATCTATTACTTTTCTTATGAGATTCGTCTGATATGTTCTATGAGGTTAGCTTCACTGATAGCTTTTATATTAGAGTCGGAGATAGATTGTATTCAGACATGGTATTCAAAAAATCTAGTCAAGTCTTTGTGCGACTCGAAGTTCTGCTTAAGTCAAAATGAAATGTTTCATCGATGTCTTTCATCAGTTACGGATTTTAATGTCGTCAGAATAGATTGATACTCATATAAAAGGGTATCGTGGGTATAGATGTGAAGATGAGTGTGAATGTGGATAATATGAAGAATTACAACCACACCAACATCTACACGCACACAAATCCATGCCGACAGACGCGCTCACACCCACTAAAAATGTCTGCTCTAATAATCTTCAAAAACCCATCCTTATAACATGGTTGACCTTCATTCACATCAATCATTAAGATAATTTTTTAATCAAGAGTGCTCGTCTATTGCCCCACTTTTAGTGTCATTCCACTTGCAAGAGTCGAACGCCTAGATATTTATGTGAATTTGGTGTCATCCCTTGCTATGAAATGATTTCTTAAGTGAATGGACATGTCTGCAGACATTTTCATCCAGTTTTCTTAGGACAAAATGAAATGATCTGAAAATTTATGTGCGTGTACGACAAGTATCCTACATTAGAATATACATGCGAAATAAAAAACCGATCCATCCTGTGCTCATCGAGTTCGGACACATTTTTTCAAAGGTAGTGTCTGCAAATACTTGGTTCACTAACTAACTGGATCGAATCTAATGTAGTTCGGCGTCCCATGGCAGTGACTACATACTGGTGAAAACTGCAGATCGATAGATGCAAGTATTGTAAAAATATCCAAAAAAACAACGAGTTCGTTTTAACTCTGGCGTCGAAAATAGTTCAAACGAAGAATGCGTTTGCAATAAAGCAAATAACTAATCATTAAAATGAACCCTTTCTATTAATAAAGAATTTGACTGTATGTTTTAGTGAGTAATACACCGCAGTTCGCATGAAAAAATGCTATTGTTAATTACATTTTACATTCATCAGTTTAAATTTTGATATCTATGAGATTGTTGATAAAAATAGTTTTTTTTTTAAAACAGTTTGTCATATTATTATACGTATCATAATACAAATGATAATCATAGAAAATGACATATAGAAGAAAAACAGAAAACGACTGTCAAAGGAAATATATGATGTTACGATAATCGAAGATGGATTTCAAAAGAGTCAGTATATATTTTATTTTTATTAAACGAATAATTCTATGATCTTTTTCAATTAAAACTTCAATGGAAATACGAAGAGATAATCACTTCCTCCAAAAACAAAAGAAAAACTAATGACACGTACTCAAAAGCTCAAAGCCTTTGTTTCATGAGAATAAAGAAAATGCGTAACAATGCATAACACGGAACAATCAGTTAATCGTACGACACATAACGGTATGTGTTTTAAAATGATGTCACGCTTCAAATTTGAATGAATCTATACTCTTATTGATATGTTATTGATAAAAGAATATGAGAATGAATTATCTAGATCATTATTATTAATTAGATTATAATTAACGAAACTCTGTGTATTCTGAAAAAGATTTAGCACAATTGTAGTTGATACTTCAAAAAAATCTTTGAACTGATATGACAACTGACTATTTCAATTTCTCTAACTCATCTTCACTCCTTAGACATTAGGCATAGCCTTTAAGAATGACGTGCAGTTGGACATATCCTACACTTATATCTATTAGCTATGAAGTAAAAAAATCTTCAATTTGTTCAGCATGACTGTCATGATATAGAAATATAGACCTAAAGATATCAAAATCAATATTATCGTAAACATTTGCCTAAAGACAAGCGTCAGAGAAGATGAAATTGAAAAATAAAGTAGATTACAGTAGATAATTATGTTACTTCGATTCGAACCGTCATCTATTTCTGACATCTAACATGATTGTTTGATAAGAAAAAACAAGGATTTATTACTGATCTGCAATGAGTTTGATGAATTTCGCTTTTCTGAGCTTTTACAACTGCGTTTTTCATAATATGACATTCATTTTTATATAAAAAATTGTTTCAAGATAAGGCTTTCTTTCGATGAACTCACCAACAGAATTGCTACGTTCGTTATCATTATTCGGATTTTTGAGTGCAAGTGATTTTTGATGCCACTGCACGCTTCTATCATAATCACCGGTATTTGATGCGATTTTACCAAGATCCTCGTACAAATCGCCATGGGAAGGATGGTTTGGTGGAAGTTGTTTTAATAAACGTGTAAAGTATTGTTCAGCTAAATCAAATTTTCCCATCTCTGATAATACTTTTCCTAATATTCGAAGATTTGTTTCGCCACTTCCAAGTTGTTGCTTCATATATATGAGAACATTTTTTAAAGCATGCTCTTTCTCACTACACAAAGTCATTCGGATAAACCATACTTGATCATCATTGCGGTAATCAATGCTGTCCAAACGAAAAATAGAGCCCAGCATAAAGAGTATTTCTGATTCTTCAGGAAATGCGCTGTATGCACTAATATCAGCAAATGGTTTTGTAGTTGCTACCTTAGGATCAGCAAAGATTTCAAATAATACTGGTTCTAACTTGTTAGTATTATCAGGAGCATTAAGAAATGAAAGGGCTTTTTGATTATCAGTAGTTGTAGAGAAAAATGAATTCACCGAAATAAACTGATCACGACATTTTTTCAAAGTTTTTAGTTCATCACTTGATATCCTTTGTCCTCGATAAACTTTTAGAGAATTGTTAGCTTGGTGAAATTTCAATTGACCTTGAATATCAGAGATAAATCGACGAAACAAAAAAATCATATGAATATTTTCGGTGCGCAAAACTGCATTGAGAGTCTTGTAAAAAAATGACTCTCGTGTGTACCACCATAAGACTTTGTTGGGTAAATAATCATTTTCAAATTCACTAAGATTGCTTAGCTCTTCATAATTACCTTCATATGCATTTTTACAAAACTTAATTAATTCTTTGGTATCTGCTTGCGTAGATTTAAGTCGTAAAAGACAATCAATAAGAACCTGTGAAAAAACGAATTTACCATTTACACCACTTGTTGATTCACCTGCACTGGAACCTGTAGTGAAAATATTAATTGACAATGGTTGTTCTACAATTTTCTGAATTTTATGATCAGCTTTAATTCGAGTGATGAGTTCATCAATTTCAACAACAACAGCTTTTATCTATTAACAAAACAAATACATAAAATGAAATTAAAATCATTCAGTCTAATTTTACTTTTGCAAAATTTCTAGTCCATTGTTTATTTGTTTCCTTATCCATGCAATACACATAGATTGATATAATTTGTTGAATTTTGTGAACAGAAGGAACTATTTTTTGTCCTAATCGACCACTAACAATCATTATTAGTCGATCATTTTGTGATCTTTGTTCAATATATTTTCGACATTGTTCTACATCTTGAAACTTCTTCAGACGATTAATAATAGAACGTAATTTTTGTTCTGTATCCCGATTATCTTTAGCGCTGATATTATCATCAAGCCAGATAAGACAGAAAATTTCAAGTTGCTCATCGTCAATATTTGTATGGAAGTCATCAATAGGTAGAGCAGACTTGGCCATGCTAATCAAGAACACTGAATAGAATAGAAGTTTTAGATGCTGTCGTTTTGATTCAGTTATCAACTGTATGAATGCTTTTTATAATCTAAAACAAATTTTATATGTTTACTTTCATTATGAGTGTGTTCTGGGTGTATGAGGTGTAGATGAATGTGGATGTGAGTGGGTGTGTGGGGTGAAGGTATGGATGACTCAAGAACACGAAACCCATATCCAAATCTACCCACATTGACATCCACCTCCACACCCTCTCTAAATATTCCTATTAGAAATCATTCATTGAAATTGCAACCAAGAGAGCAGAACATTCTTCTTCCTGAAACCTGCTCTAGAGTCGAATCGATTGCACAGAAAAAAGATCAATGTTTATTATCTCTGAATGGAGAATTCGTTCTGTTCCATGTGATATAAACTTTAAGGAAGAAGAAATCTTTCTATCATATTGATTTAGGATCTTAGATATTAGGCTGCTCATGATTTCCTCCGACGTATGAAGTAAACAAGAAAACATTTTTCGTAATGATAATACACTGAGAAAAATAGCATTATTTGAAACGAAAAATGAACGATAATATCATTCATATTTATTGAAAATTGTAAAGGAATCTGTTGTTGTTTTAAAAAGTTGAGTTATATTTCTGTCAGAAATGAAAAACGCATGCTAACGTCGACAATGATCGACGAAGTCCTTTTTCTTCTACTGTATGTTGACTTTAAATTGTTGGTATTGCTGTTGATTTGAGACTAAGTAAATAATAAGAAAGAGTTCGTTATTCGATGTACACATTACTGGGCAAGTTCATCTTGTCCCTGGATTGTGAATAATCTCTTTTGAGAAAGTTCGCTTCGAGAGAAAAACTTCCTATAGATGAAATATATTTCTGAGTATCCAAAGAAATATGTCACAGTGGCTTTACACCATTTCATTATTAAGCGATTAACTATCTTTTATCCTTTCAAAACTTTATTTCGCTCGAAAGTCTATTCCTAAAAAACGATATTATAAACAATTCTATGATTCTTTCAGAAATTGTTAAACGCTTAATAATATCGTTACAACATTGTTTTTAACACATATAAACGCGCTAAAGATGAATTGATCTGCTAAAATACATAATTTTTCTCCATGTTACACGCTTGTAAAAGTTTCTCTGGTGATTTCTATCAATGTTATCGCATTCATGATTTTATACATACGTGACTGCGAGAAGTTCAGTTGAAGGATGAGATTTTGTGCAATGATTTTTACAGCTAGTTTTATTGAATTCAGTTTCACCTCGCTATTTCTTGTTTTTTCGGCTAGATTCATCGCACCTTTGGGGATTCGTTAATTAAAACATTATAGAAGACGAAATTTTTGCCGACTCATATTGCATTCACTTTATTAAAATTGACATTTATAGCTATTTATTTTATATCTAATTGATCTCTAACTCTTATGAGAATTGCTTTCAGAAATTCGACAAAATCTAACTAGTCTTACAAAGGATATCTGAAGTACTTTTTAGTTTGTAGGAATCACATATAATATTTTTATTTTCAGAGTTGACCTATCTAATCCGATGCTACAGCAAGAGTTTTCATTTTAACTATTATTCTATTCAGACTAAACTTCATAATCTGTTTTCTTTTAAGAATCTTTCTCATTTATTTAAATTTGTCATGATCAATGATTGAAAACGACCAAACAATTTTAATCATTCATATTCACGTAGAAACGACATCGAAAAGAAAAAATCAACTGAGTGTATGATTCAAAATAAACATCAAGAGTAAAGAGTGCAAGAAAGAGATTTAACAAAATGATCGTATGTTGAAGAACCAAGTTACGATCAAATGCTGACACAGCATGATCGTTACATTAAGTAGTGATGCTTGCTGATATTTAGTCCATATACTGTTTTAGTTAGTTAAAAGAAGATCGATCAGAAAACAATGAAAAGTGTGCGGCAGAATAAACTGCAATCTTAGCATTTTTACTCAATATCTTAGTTTATTCTCGTCATTTCTAAATAACTCTTTCTTATAAAAAGATTCATCGTTTAATTCTTTATCAAATTATATATTTCTACTAATGAAAGTATACTTTATAGTCTTTCAATACACAGCATAAACAATGACTGAAAAATATACTACTTACCAAATTAGTCTTTTAACGAAGCTCTATTAGTACATTTTTTAGTTGCTCATGTACTATCATTTTTGAACTTTCATCTGTTCCTATTTCTAACTTTAAAATTTTAATTCATATTGACTAGTTGAACTAATTCGTACATTGTTTGTCGAAAGGCTAAAGATCCTATTTAGTATAAAATAGAAAAACCTGTCATAGTACTCCCATTGGACCGAACAATAACTTGCGCTTATGTACTATCGTGCTTAAATATTCAACCACTGCTAAGTAACTTATTCTTATATTGTGGTAGTTGAGTTGCTTGCCTGGTTTAACAATCTTGATATCTCATTCTATTTGTATTCATAACAGTCATTGGTCTTTGAACGATCGATTTACAAATTAGTTAGATTATTCAATATGAATCAAATTTTTAAAGTTACGAATAATAACAGGTGAAATTCAAAACTAACAATAATTTAAAATATTAAAAGGTGTGATAATAAAATTTCGTGAAATAATTAACTTGAGCATGGGGGTGTGGGTGGGTGTTGGCGTAAATATAGATGACGATTTGAGTCTCTGTGTGTCGATGTATGAGTCAGTTCGTTGATGAGCGTGCACAAAAGATGCGCAGCCACACCAACACTCTGGCATATTCGTCTGTATCGAAAACTTCTGATCGACTGTTTGATGTATCCCAGTATGCGTCATCATCCATCCGTTTTTTAAGCATTAATTTGTAATAAGAATCTGTTTCTACTGATGCTGAGGTGTCGCTGCCGTCAGACTCACATCTTTCTCACCCTCAATCAGGTATCCTGATATGCTGTCTGAAAACGTTTGCTCAGATTCTTGAACATAGCTTTACAATCCATCCTATTCTCTTTCATCTTGACACCTTGTTATGAATTTCAAAGCTCTCCACTCTCACTCTTAGATCTTCTTATATGGTCATAAGCTTTCCATTCGTACCTGGACATAATGATTTTTCGTAGTAAGTTATTTTTTCTCAATTTCACTTATGACTGTTTAATTAGGACGTTATCATCTTAGTTTTAACTTTGTTTTGTGTGATTCGAATACTCATTTGGTCATGCTGGGGCATAATTCTGTGGCTCGCAGGCTTTTCTCATCTTGATCAAATCATTTGTAAAGAAAAGGTATTACCCCACAGTCGCAGCCACATTTCGGCGTGCTAACAAAAGGTGATGAATTGGATGGAATAGAAAAAGAATGCAACAAGGTGAAATTCAGTGAAGTTATTCATGGATATTGATTTCATATCTATCGAAAACGCCTGTAATCAGCATTCTAATTATATATTAGGTCTATTTATGACGCTTAAAGTACTCTTTCTAGTCTTGGAAATCTTCCGAATAAGTTACTCACCAAAATGCAGTAATCAAAACTAACTATACTGAATAATTTTTAGTGGTGATTGCTTCAGAATTTGTTGAGTTTTTGTGTATGCCAGGCAGATCTGTTTTTTTGTTTAATAATTCGTTCCTTATTTTTGCATAATAGCAGTATTTTACGCTTTATTTCTGCCTACTTCTGCGTTTTTTTTGTTATTTTTTCAGTTCTTGTGAACTACACACTCTATTGTGAATGACTGTACATAACAAAGGTAAAACATCCAAGGTAACGAACACAAAACGATTGATTTTAAACAAAAAACGAATTCATGTTTAAAATAAGAAATTCAGCTCATCGAGACCACAAACACCTATTCTCGTTGTCATGTGATATGTAGGAGCCAATAACGTTCAGATACAAACGATGTTTAACAGAGATAAACTTTATTAGGTATCTACGAGGAGATCTAATAATAGAACTCTAAAAGAACATGATTCTTCTATAATTTCCTTCGTGATTTATTTCATTCCTAAATAAATGATACTCACATCATTAAACATCAGACGATTCTGTTTTAAGCTTATGAAACATTGATAGTTTGCAATATAATTACTATTTTTTTTTTCAAACTGAATTCATATTTTAGAAAACCCGTCACATTCATCTTATTTCTTCATTAAAGAAGAAAGGTTTTTCAACAAAGGTACCTATTCCGGCATATCGTGAAATTTCCGTTTGATAGTGTTTCGAAAACATAAGAAGCTGACTCAGATGAGTTATATATATGAGTTAAATCTCCATTGATTTTTTCGTAAGTCTATCAAATATTCGTAGAGAGCTATATAAGATGAATCGAAAGTTCTTTAATTGAAAAAAATATTGAACATTATGACAAACATTATGCATGTTCACTCTCACTCTTGCTATACTGATATTTATTTATGTATCTTAAAATCATTAGAAACATTTGTAAAACGAAAAGAAATTTTTTATATGTCAATTTGAGACTTCTTTCAACTTCTTCGATTCATAGAGACTTAATAATCTAATTTCGTTTGATCACATTCAGTATTGGGTGGCCTTCAATGTGCACAATAACATAAACAAAAAAATTCGTTTCTTATTAACATGTGCATTATAAAACCTATATTTATTAGAAATCTGTATGAATTGGAAAGAAATATTAGATAACATGTATTCTATTTGCTATACTGAAAAAATAAATACGTTCCGAGCACAATACGATTGTAAAATTCATCTAGTAACAATTTTTGTTCGTATGCATGCGAAAGTGAATCATATGTTTACATATACGATAAAAATAGTTAGAAGTATCGCTTTCATTTTTTACAGGTGCTTGTAGTTTCAAATATTTTATAAATAATAAACACTCGTATAATAGACATGAATCTTATATTAGTTACTTTTTCTTGTATCGATGCACAACGAAGTTTTTACGAATCGACAGCGATGTTGAAGACGTAAATCGATTTTTTAATGCAAAACCAACAGAAAAAAAAAACATTAA